GTCTGCAACACTGAAGGGTAAGGCGCAACAAACCTTGCTAAAATTATCAAATAAAAGAAAGCACTCCTACCATTGTATAGCTTATGTTCATTCGTATAAAGGCATGTGCCAATTGTAGCTCTGCAATACATATTTCCTGTCTCATTATACCGGCAAACAATAGGTAATCAATTTTAAGATATCTCGAAAAGTAATTGGTTTAGAGGAACAGCAATTGCATTTTTGGAATCAGCATCAAAAGCTCAATCACACTAGGAATTTTCTTTATGAACGCATGAAAATATGACATTTCGTCTCAAGTACAGTGTAAAGTGTCCCCCCCTTAAGGGGAGACACTGGCCTTAAAATTTAAATTTTTATTATTGAAGTTATTGTAATGAGACTAGGTGTGTTTATGTAGATCTCCCCCTTCTCTTCAAAAATGTAATTAGTTTTAATGTACATCAACTAGTTATCAAATTGTGAGAGCATAAGTGAAGTCTAATTATGTAGTTTCTTACGGGCACTTTCCCTCAACATTTTTAGCTTCTGTTTAGGATGCAGCTGTAGTCAAAGACCTGCCATGTGGAGCTATGCTATTTATATTGCCACTGAAATACATTATAAAAATTCGAATTTGCATTGATGATCTGTAATATTGAAATTATTTAGATCACATTATCATTAATAAAATTTTTATGTCCCTTTTAGCCACAAAAAAATAGCATAGCTCCACAGTCCTGTTTCTTAAGAGTTCAACGGCATAAAATTTAAAGAAATTTCTTCATAAAAACATGATGAAATGTTTCGTAGGGCTGGCCAGGTTGGCAAAAAATGTGAAGCTGAGAAAATCACATTTGAAGTTTCGACATGCACTGCGAAATTTTCTATAACGACCTTTTACCACAAATTTTATATTCATGTTCCCCAACTATTCCCCTGCAAAGTAAAACAAAATGTGCCTTATTCCATTCTTGGAATGATTTCTAAAATTTTTTCCAACGTGGAAAGCATTACCAGAACTCCACCATGACAAGCTGTTGTTCTGGAAAAGCTGTGGAGTATGTGGCTCAAACGAATAGCTTTCAGGCGCCATGCTGCCCTGGATAATAAGTTGCTGTGTTCCGGACCCTCAAAAGACCATAAAAATGTCCGAAAAATCGGGCATCCGTCCGGAAAAACGAATGCCTGCAAAAATGCCCTTTTTTAAAAGGTATTTTGTGCTGACACAGCCAGGGTTCGTACAGGTTTCCAAAGAGGAAATTCAAGGATATTCAAGGACTTTCAAAGACTCAAAGCAGCATGCTAAGTAGGAATCCTTCACTCTAAAATTTTCAAAAATGACCAATTTCATTGCACTTATAATATATGGATATTACAATTATTTTAAAAAAAGTGTAGTCTTAATAACTTCTTGCACCCTCTCCATAGGGAGGGGGCAGGATGTCATGTCAGAAAGTTATGCACTGATGGGCTTCCACGCGCATGTGTAGTCAGGTCTTAAAGGGATCATGCCACAATATTTCTGGCTTGCGTGCTCTTTGCTGCAAGCTTTAATTATAGCAACAATAAGTACGATACATGCACCAAGATTCATTTATTCTCCCTATATAATTTGTCCCCTTTTTGATATCGACAATTTTAAGTTGGCTTTTCTTCGTTGCCTTCGTCAGTTAGCACTTTTTTTTTCCAATACCTCCTAGTGGCAGCAGTGTGCAACGGCTATCATGGCTATAGGATGTGATGCTATTCACCATACCTCCTACAGTGATGGAAGTAACATTTTGATTTTCGGAGCAATTATGGAACAGAAAAAATACTAGCCTGGAGCACCTATTGTTTTTGACTCTGAAAGCAAAATATTCTAAATGACTCCTGGAGCTTATTGTATCAATTAAACCATATATGCCCAAACTTTAACAAAACTGATATATTTCCCAAAAATGATTCCTTCTACGACCTTAGGAAACAAAATAGGGCTTTTATTTAGGAAAAAAAAAACTCTTTTGAACAATAGATTTAGAGCCGTTTATTATTTCGAACACCAATATTTAACACGCCACAAGCAAAAACAACTTCGGAGCAGCACAGAGCAGCATTTTTTTTTTTTTTAGCAGTTTGGAGCAATTGAAGCAGCACTTCCATCAATGCTCCTCGTAGGTGAAGTGATGGAAGTGACATTTTGATTTTCGCAGCAATTTTGGAGCAGAAAAAAACACTAGCCTGGAGTAGCTATTGGCGTTTTTGAAGCTGAAAGCAAAATATTTAAAGTGACTCCTGGAGCTTAATGCATCAATTACCCATATATGCCCAAACATTAACAAAACTGATATATTTCCCCCAAATGATTGCTTCTATGGCCTTAGAAAACAAAATAAGGTTTTTAAAAAACACTTTCGAGCAACGGTTTTGCAGCCGTTTTAAATTTGAAACGCCAATATTTGACACGCCACAAACAAAAAGAACTTTGGAGCAATTTGGAGCAATTGAAGCAGCACTTCCATCACTGCTCCTCATAGGTGAAGAGGCACACTTTCAACAAGGACAAATGGGACAAGAAAGTAGCTTTTCTCCTGTTTGTCAAGAGTGTGCTACATCACTTATAAAGGGGTGGAACTGGGCTTCAGTTTTTTGGAGCAGCTTTGAAGCAATAAAAAGGGAATTTTGGAGCAGCTCTGCAGCAAAAGATGTGTTTTGGAGCATCGATATTTAGTTTTGGAGCAGATTTCTCGGGCCACGCATCACTGTTCTTAGAATTTTGGTTTATGGTAAACAAAAAACATTCCAGTCAATTTTAAGTCATGCAATGCCGATCAAGCGACCAGACCTACCCAAACTTTATATTAAACTTCACAACATCAAAAGTGAAAGGGCAGCGAATCAAACATAAGCAGCGTTCTGGACAGCTACTAGACCTCAGACCTAGACGAATGTAAAAATTCAATGTTAAAATGTTGCAATAGTCAAAATCTGATTAAAACACCGCATCCAACATGAATAGCAACTCAAGACTAGAAATGATCTACTACATAATGGAAGTTATCTTTATACTAAACCCATAGGGCTCTAAAAATAAATGTAAAAAACTTATGTTCCCTTCATTTAAGTTCCCCAGCCAACTTGACAACCCGGAGATATTTATATGCGCTCGCCATGCCATTACTAGGCAATTAGATGAAATTTTTTTAATACGATAGCAACTCGTATGGACACTGGACGGGTTTTCGCTGTCGCTGTTATGTTCCACGTAAACTACAAGTTGGTAGTGTTCCCCGTGCATCGTACGCTTTACCCGCGCATAAAACTGCACAAGCTAGGGTGACGAGCACTGTTCAAGCAGAGATTAAAACGAGCAGCCTATCTCCGTCGCTCGGAGGGCACACGCGTTAGCGTCCCACCACGTGTTAGACCTGCCGTCGAATGCTCCGAGAGGAAACGTGCCACCTGTCTTTAACGAGCATGAAAAGACGCGGAGGGAAGGAGGGGGTGCTCGAGCAGCAGCAGTGAATTTTGATTTTAAGGGCGCGGTTGCAATAGCTGGCACGGAAGCTAACTGCGAGCATCCGTGCACGGCTCGTAAACCATTATATGTAGTGCGCTCTTAACTGGGAGAGATTAAGCGATAAGAGCATTTCTCCCTGGAGCAGCCTCACTTATCTTCTTAGACCAGCGTTTTGAAGAATTTCACGATGTTGGATCCAAAAGAGTTAGCTGTCAGCCTTTGTATAGTCACGGGATCAGGATGTTGACGAAGGCAGCAGCCGCCGTTTTCATGAGTGAACTTTTTATTTGGGTGAACTTGCGCCCGGAAAACAAAACATCACTCTACAAGAAATACACGCTGTAGACATATTGCAACGAACATATAGCGTCGATCATCAATGACCTGCCAAACAGCTAAGTGCGTCAGCATTTATATATTTGCCATCAAAGATTTCAGCGTTAACGCTAGCTACGCGCGTAAGTTCCAGAACAAAGTGTAATGTAGGCATTATGCGCGTAATCTCATTGGAAGGTTGTTCTAAGATTATGTAGATGGTCCCCAGTCATGCGGGTGCGGTTTGCACAAGCAGCGTTACACGCGTGATGGTGAGGTAACAAAAACAGGAAGAAAGGAGCACGCACAGCATCACCATGCCAACATTACAAAATGTTGCTATTGCTGTCATCGCTTTGCCGGTGACACCGATTTTGTTTCCTCAATTTATATGGCAAAAAACGCGCCGCACTGTTGCCGAGCAACTTCCGAGCAACCGTCAAGCACAGCATGCGCTCGGCAATGATGCAGAGAGTTTTTTGGAACACCACTGTAGTCTTAATACTTTGCTGTTAAAACACATATAGTCACATAATGAGGTATGCACACAAACGCCACCTTAACAAGAATCATGTATTGTGTTCACATGGTGCAAGATTCATGCATGATCCGAAATATGACGTTTGATATGGGCGCAGTTGCGCCCTTTTTGTGGCCCACGCGCGTTGCTCGGTCGATTGACTAAATTTGTTGTTACACATGCAAATTTCCGTTTAGGCGCGGCTTGGCGCAGCACTTCCACCCCTATACAAGGTATGATGATCAATCACAAAGTAGCCCAACTTCAAACCCCTTGTGAATTTAAAGTTCAGGACGCAACCAGCCTTACCATGTTTCTCATAACAAAAGCAGGCTTAGGTTTGGTCAGTGCTGCTACTATAATTACACTATTGCTCTGTGGCTGCAAAAAGTGGTTATAGGCCTTGCCTTGTTGGCACAAATGGGCCGTTGAGAGTTGTTCAAGAGTACTGACAGAGCCAGGGGTGGAATCGAACCTACATGTTTTAGTGGCAGCCGAGCACTGTAACCACTAGGCCAGCACGGTGGCTCTATCAAATGAGGAATGGCATGAAATGCATAATAAAGCAGACAAAGCAGTGCCACTGTGACACATGGGAAGCAGACACAAGACTAACAAACCATGTTAACAGTACATTTTAGCAGAAGTGAAAAAAAAAAAAAAAAAAGATGCGTATGAACTCACAACGAGGTCTTTGACAACTGCTTGCAATGTGACAATGTTTGGCCCACCACGAAGGTTTTCCAGAATCTTGATCTCTCGCTTAATCTTTTTCTTCTTCACAGGCTGCAAGTGAAATTGCAGAAGCGTTGAAAGGTGGGCTAGTTGGTATAGATTCATATTGAAATATTGGCAGCACAAACTAACTGGACGCAAAAAAATGAGAAACACATGAAGGGAAATGAAAATTTAAGAGAGAAGGTTCCACCGTGATCAAGTGTCGTCCAGAAACGAGCTTTCACAATCTAAAAGAGATATAGACAGTGAGCTGACACAACTATCAAAATGGACATTTACAAAAAAAGGATTTCGCAATACCCCTGATTTTTGTGTCCCAATGAGTGTATACTACTGATGTGCGCAAATATTCAGGTTGGCAGGCACACTTTGTGCAATAGGCAAACAAATGTAAACTTGGGTCCGACTTCAGGCCATTGTAGTGCTCTCGCAGGCAAACGTTCAGGCAACGCCCAGTAAGGCTTCGTGAAGAAAGGCTGTGGTGTAAAACATGTCAATTGTTTCACTAATTGTTGGTTGGACGTGGTTTATTGTATCCCACTGTTTGGGTGCTACCTAAACATTCGCCTCAGAGAACACTACAATGCATCGAAGCTGGCCCAGAGTTTACCGTATTCACTCGCGCAATCCTCGCACTTGCATAATTCTTGCACCCCACATCGCCCAACAAAAATACTATTTTTTTTTCTCGAGTAATTATCGCACTCCCGAAAATCACCGAAATAATGTCGTCTGCTCGTTCCAGCCGTTGATGATAGCGCGTGCCATCTGGCACCATCTCTCAAGCGTCAAGAGTACTATTGCACGGAAATTCAATCCAATCAAAGCCAAGCCAAAGCGGCAAGTGCACGTTGCGGCGTGTTTTGTATGTTGTGTCGGTAATCTTGTAACGTTTTGTGGTGATACTGAAGCTACACTGCTGCTTTCAAGTTGAAAGTGATTGAACATGCACTAAACAACGGCAACAGGGCCGCCGGTAGGCCCTTCAGAGTCGACGAGTTTTGTGATCGCTACTGGTGACGGCAGCTAAAAGCCACAAAGATGCGTTGAGCCTGCCACGTGCTTAAGACTGAGATTAATGGTAAACTTCAGAAGGAAGCTGCGGACGATTCTGTTAAGTAGCCATCAGACCAATACTGACATCCTAAGCTTACGTTTTGAGGTCTTCTGTTGAATGACAAACACTAATGCTACGCCCACAACGCCTACAAGCTTTGCGTATGGTATTCTAATTACAGACTATTTGCTTGCACTCTTTGTGTCTCAAATAAATCTTGCCTTGTGTTGAACCTACGCTTTTATTGTTGAAGTGTGTTTTGATTAGTACTTGTGTGTGTGTGTGTTTGATTAGTGTTTTGATTAGTTCCTGGTGTGAGAATCCCGATTTGCAGCCACTTCGTTTTCTTTTTCGCTCTGTACGTTTTCGTGGAAAGTTTTCCTCACGTAATTCCCGCACCCCCCAACTTTGCATCGGTTTTCCGCCGAAAGAAGTGTGAAGATTATGCGAGTAAATACGATACATCTGTCCACCCATTGCACAGTGTGGCTGCGTACCTGAATTTACACGCACATCTGTATTATACAGTTATTGTGACAAACCAGGGTGACTGCGGAAGCCTTGTCAGCACTCTGCCTATATCCTTTTTAGATTGCGAAATGTTGTTTCTGGACAACACTTGATCACGGTGAGACCTTTTCTCTCGTTTCCCCTTTTGCTTCATGCTTTTCTGGCATATATAATCTTCCAAGAATAAGCCATAGTTTCAGTACGTGCTCTTTTGTCTCCTCCTTTGCGTGCCGATAGTTTGCACTGCCAATATTTCACTATGAATGCAATTGAAATATTATACAAAAATATGTTGAGACAAAGAACACATAATATCTTCTGAGCACAAAACACGTCCAGGAGCATAACAAGCCGTAACTGTTTTAGTCAAAAAAATAATTACTGTATTCACTCACGTCATGAACCCTTCTTTTTTTGTGAGGAGGGTTCATTCATTGTGAGGCGGGTTCAAGTCACGGGTGTTATAAAAGCGAAAATTTCGCTCGACGGTTTGGCTTGTTTTGACCCATGAAATGCACGACTTTTTTCAGTAGCCCAAAACTCTTCTTGTTTTCTCCCGTAACGAACGTGCACGGATCGACGCCGAAGTGTCGTCCAGCCACTCGGTTCCAATGTTCTAGCGCATGCTCAACCAACCAAGCTTAAAACCAGTCGTGTAGTTAACATACTGGGCGAACATGCCCTGCGCCGCAGGTGCCCAACTAAGTTCTCTACGACAAACCCGACAAGAAAAACGCAGCGTCGGATGGCAGCATACAAATGTTGCGTGCGACGTGCCAGCGGCGCGTGACGCGTTTCTACACCGCGCGCCCACCAACTCAAAAGCTGTGCACTTTGTTTTTTTTCTTTGTTTTCGTGCTGCTGTGCTTGCATGACGCAATAAGGGAAGAGGTTTCTCCTACATTCGACAGATGGCGCTCTGCTGCAAAAGGCACGGCTTTTGAATTTTTATTGACGCTGTCAGTGTTCACACTGCTCGCATCTCTTTAGCATGGTTGCTAAACTATGTTTTGACTTTCATTGCGTTATTTTGTGATATAATGGCTTGATTTAACATTTTCTCAATCATCAATGGCACTGGCTTTCACCCCGAAATAAAATGAACAGATACATTTAAAAAATGTTTTTTTTTTCTTTTTTTTAAGGACCAAGATGGGGGTGGGCTCATTATGTGAGTGGGTTAATTACGAGAGTAACTACGGTATATGAACGCAGCTACCTAGGTTAAAAAGCATACCTAGAGCCCTACACAGAAACAAGAACTGCTGTGACAAAGTCAGTAAAGTACTGCATCAGTCCTTAGCTTTGTACTTAATACTTGCTTCCCTGAATCTTTATAACCAACCCTCTTTCATTTGAAGGGTGGGTAAGCAGGCCCAGACTTTTTTTTTTTAACACTCCCAAAGCAAGGTTGTTCATCCATGAAGAAAGCCGCAGCGATTGCATTTTCAAAAATAACAAAGGTGGCCCCAGGATTTTTTTTTCCAGAGGGAGGTGGGCGACATGCACCGTACTTACACGATTGTAATGCAACGACAATTGTAACGCACCCGCAACTTTTCATCAGGAGGTAAAAATAAGTAAATGTTGGGTGCATCATTGCACTCTTTAGACAATTTCAATTTCCGTATTCGATTATTACGCGAGTGTCGACTTTAGGTAGCGAAATTTGGGAAAAAAACTTAGTATACAGTATTACGCTTGAGTAAAAACTGTCAATTCACACCTGCTTGCCAAATGCAGCCACAAACAAATCACCACTTAGCCGCAGCTACTCGCCAGGAGAGCTGCTGCCGATTGGAATAGTGTATCTATTGGCACCACGAAAATAGCATGCACGTCTCTTATACAAGTGTTGATTACTGACATATGCAACTCTTTCAATCAGTGGCGGCACTCTTATTAATGAACAACAGCAATGCAACAGCTGAAAAAAAAATTTATAAAACAAGTACATAGAATATTACTTTTTTTTTGATGAAACCCACACAAACACGCACAGAAAAAAGTGGAGTGGAAGTCAACATGAAAAAGTCGAAATCCAGTTGCTTCACATCTATGCAGGGAAGCTAATTTCGTGGCAATACACAATGATCATTATCCATGATAAGTTGCTGACGTGGTGTTTATGCAAGAGAATACAGTATGTATACCGTATGAACCAGAATATAAGTCGAGATATTTTCAATAAAATAAGCTAGTCTCCCCTCGTCTTATATAGCGGTGTCTAGCCGAAAGTGCGTCGCTGTCTGGCAACATGTGGCTTGCATGTGCGTGAGAAGCAGAGGTGGCCATATTCGCATCCAAATTCAATCGCAGGCTGTTTTTTTTTTTCCTTTTCTCTCTCTCTCTGTCTTTGTGTTCGTTATTTGCTTCCCATCTGTTCTGAGTTTTCGGTCCGCTTGACAGTGTGCTGCCTTTTTAGTGGTCTTTTTTTTTTTTTTTCGTTCACTGAATATGAGTAGCGGTATGAGGAGGCAGTACTTAGCTGCATTTACACTAGATGTTGTGGAGTTCGCAGAAGCGAACGGGAATATGGCTGCTCAGCACCGCTTTGGTGTATCGGAAAAAAGCGTGCGCTATTGGAGGGCACAGAGAGGGAAGCCGCAGATGTGCGATCATCGAAAAATGTCGTTTCGCGGGCGAAGTGCCGTTCATCCTCAGTTGGAGAATAAGCTAGCAGACTTTGTGCGGGAAATTCGTGCGCGCTCGCTGCCAGTAACCATGGGTACCATTCGCAAGAAAGCCGTGAAACTCGCTCGAGAGGCTGGGCTCACATGAGGAGTTTTGTGCACCAAACTCTTGGGTGTGTCGATTCATGCGACGCAAAGGATTTTCTCTTCGGCGGCGCACATCCATCTGTCAAAAGTTGCCGATGGAGTTCGAGAACAAGCTTGTAAACTTTCAGCGCTTTGTGAACCGGCCTAGGGAGCAGAACAACTACATGATGGGGAACATTGGCAACGCCGATGAGACCCCCGTGTGGTTTGACATGCCTTCCTCGACCACGACCACACAGCACGGCGCCAAGGATGTGAAGCTCTTGTCCACTGGCAACGAGCACTCGCACTTCAGTGTCATGCTGGCATGCACGGCTGATGGTAGAAAGCTTCCACCCTTCATCATTTTCAAACGCAAGACAATGCCGAAGGAAGTGTTCCTGCCCGGTGTTGTCGTTCGCGTCAACAAAAAGGGATACATGGGCGAGGTCATGATGCTCGAATAGATAAGAGTAGTGTGCAACTGTCGGCCAGGTGCTCTGCTGCGTCGTCGCAGCATGCTGGATGCATTTCGTGGTCACTTAACCGATGCTGTGAAACGCGCACTTAGCGACGGGAAAACAGACCTCGCCGTGATACCAGGTGGTACCACGTCCACCCTCCAGCCGCTCGACATTGCGCTAAACAAGCCGTTCAAGGACTAAGTGCGGCTGGAGTACCAAGAGAGGATGTCCGGTGACAACCCAAAGACACCGACGGGCCGCCTACAGAGACCTCCGCTTGCGAGTGTTTGTGGCTGGGTGCTTTCGCCCTAGCGTTACTTGCCAAATTCCATGGAGGAAAATGCTCTCAAGAAATGTTGCATCAGCAACTCCCTGGATGGCACAGAAGACGACGCACTGTGGGAGGCGGCAGGCGACAAACTCTCGTCTTCAGAAGACGGTGGTGCTTCGTCGGACGAATAGGAGCAGTTGCGATGGTGGTTGAGGGGAGCCTCGACTATCGGGGTGCGGTGCACCCGATTCGCAAATAAATGTGGTTCGGTAGTTTTGGGTTGCTTTCCTTTTTTTTTTCTTTTTCGGTAACCTGAACTTGGGGGGTCGACCTATATTTCACTCGACCTATAGTCGGGTTTATACGGTACATTAGAGGTAGAGCCAGAAGGTAAACATAATGTAACTATGTTCCAGAGTCCCCAATTTCTCACTTGTAACCCCATAAGTAGTGGGACTCATTTGATTTTGGAATGCAAGTCAACCCTCATATTCAGATTGAAAATTTAAATTAAACGGGTCGATATACAATCGTGTAAACACAGAAGTAACAACGAGCGCGGTTTATGCCTCTCCGCAATGTAGTAGAAAAGTAAGGCGAAGCAAGAAACTAAAAACTAAAATGTGCTGAAGCGGCATGAAAGTATTCTTCTACCCCCCCCCCCCCCCCTTTCAACTTCCTTATTACAGCACTTTTGAAACATTATTGTGGCACCATGTTTCCACATACAAGTGCATAATTATCTACATCATAAATTTTAGACCTTGGGGCTTGACTATCCTCTTAAGGCGGCAGACTGGTCTTAGACATTTTTCGTTTATTTCTCCAGTGATCTTGATAAAACTGCACAGGATTATGCAGTTTTTTCTGCTGATTTCAAATATTTATTAGTTTTCCTGCAACTCATTTTGTTCCCGAGATAATTTAAGTTCATCCTCTATTGTTTAAGGTCGCCATAGAAAAAAATGCGAAACTAAAAGTGATATTTAAGATATGTTTAAGATACACACTATAGAGTGAAAATATGCAAGAGTTTTTTGTTTTTAGGCCTTTCTTGGTTATTTTACAGAAAAATGAACTATCCATTTTCAAAAGCAGTTGGAATTATGTTATAATTTTGATGAGTAATCAATTAAAAAGGCTTGTGCTTTAAATTCTGCTCGCATACTTGCATTTTACACACATACAGGTTTCCATTGCAAAAATAATTGTTATACCTGCCCTAGCTACAGAGATATTGAGGCCTCAAAATTAAACAGTCGTAAATTTACTTTTTTTGTGAAAAATGGAAAAAAACTGAAAATACGCAGCTTCTTCAAAAAGCAACAATCATGGTGTTCATGTTTTGCAATCTTCATAAAGGTTCTCATACATTCACAGCAGAGCTTCTAACACAGGTGCCGGCACGTTATAAAGAATCCTCGAAGTTGGTTCCCCATTTTTGTGCAGGTTCTGCATGTTTACAGCACGAAGAATCTGGGCACTTAGAATGACATCACAAAAAAATTACCACTTCCTGGTGTGTGAAAGTTTGCAGAGAGATAGAAAAATACTTGCAGAAACCAAATATGTCATTTTTAAAAAATGAATGTTTTTGTCGCTTTTTGGTCCAAAAAGCCGGTCTGCCCCCTCCCTTAAAGGGGCCATGACACTCAATTATTACTCATAATCTGTGTTATGGGGTTTAATCCTTCTGCATACAGAAACAAGCTGCTCAAATTTTGACAATTTGGTCAGGTACTCAATTTATAACTGAACATAAACACATGAACGGCCCGAGAGGCTACACTAGCGCACTCGTGAGCCATGATGTGAACAGCTAGGTGTGAGAGCGTCTGCTTTCTAGCTAACAATATTGTTCAGGGGTCAGCTGCCCATGAAATCAAGGTATTTTAGCTTTTATCAGCTTGGCACTGAAAATGAACAATTTCAAGCAGCTGCCCAGGAAATCAAGGTATTATGAAGTCTTGGTTTGAAAGTTTTATTAGGCCCGAGGAACCGGCAGCCGACAACTACGATGAACGAACCTAGATGATGATGCTACGCAACATAGATGAGGATGCATAAGCAACACATGATAATGTACAGGTGAAGAGGATGGGTGTACTAACTGCCCACAGAATTTTAGCTTTTATCAGCTTGGCACTGAAAATGAACAATTTCCAGCAGCTGAAATTTCGATAGAAGATATAGCTCGTGCTCTTGCCAATACATGACGTCACACGCACCATGGTAAAATGGCGGTCGCTGGCGGTGCGCAGTTTATGGATGGCAACTTTCAGTGCTTGTTTTACAACGAAATATTTTACGGCCAACTTTTTGTAACGGTATAGACATAGCGGACCCTCTATTACTGGTTTTTGCTGAAACCCACAAATTATTGAGTAACCGTGACATGGCCCCTTAAGTTACCTTGCCACTGACAAAAATTTCAGTAACACGAATCCATTCTGCCTAATTCTTCACAGCGGCAGAGCCATTGTAAAAGTAAAAATTATAAAATCCCATTTGTAACAGACTGCTACAAGGAAATCTATACGAATTTCACAGAGAAAGCTTCTTAATTGAGGTGTCAACCTTCCCTTTCACAACCCCTGGTCCACCTTTTGCAGGATTCGAAAGAAGTAATTTGCCCAATTCAGCATTTATGGGCTTTGCATTGTCAATTAGTTCACCCTCAGACTACCAATTGCTAGCATACAGATCAGCTCAACTTGGGAGAGCAACTGCCCCAAAAAGAAATTGTTCCTGAGCTTGATAAGAGAAGCCTATATGAATTTAAATGAATCTTTATGCTACGATAGCGGTGGTTGCAATGTTCCCCTTCAAAGTTAACTAAATATAAAAAAAGAACTCTCTCTGGCCACCTTTTACCGAGCGGCTTTACAGGCAAGGAAAAGAAAACGACTTACCTTTAATATTTTAACTACACACTTCTCGTTGTTAGTGATGTTAACAGCCTCAAACACCTCACTGTACTTCCCTCGACCGAGCTTGCGGACAAGCTGGTAGTCATCTTGAACTCTGAAACCAAAAGCACCACCTCATGTAGGCAAACTCAACATCCAATTGTTTGCAGCTACTTCCATGACAGAGTTCACTGAAGCATCATGCAGATACAAAACTACATGAGCTCCATTGTCAAGTTTTTAATCACATCACTGCTGAAGGATTAGGGAAATGTTGCTTAAATCATGAGGCACACAAAATGCAGTTCAAAGGCCTAAAGCAACTACATTTTGCCCTTGCCATGACACGAATAGATTATTATAACCAGAAAGCTTTTCCATTCAGCCCAAGTGATCTGTTTAAACACCATATATCAATGCCGAGTGTGAAACAAGTGTGCAAAATATTCGCTATTCGCTGTTTGACATGCAGTCGAACCCCACCACAAAGAACGCTGCCTCAACGAAAAATTCTCGGTGCCTTGTCAGAAGTCATAGGAGTCTAAAACACACACTGCCATCACCAGAAACCACCGCTATTTACTAAGCATGAGGGTTGCCACTGCTCGATAGTGATGTGAATGATACAGCCCTGCTTTTGCCACTGGCTTGCTTTCGAGCCGCAGACGATCCACAGCTGAAGTTCAGTCGCTCAGTTAATAGTATGGAGGAATAAATAGTGGTTCATAGTTTCCTACAGGCAGCTAACGTGGCTGACGAGTGCAATCACGAATGCTAATGCTTGTGGTTCTTTGTGCACTTGGGGAAGTGTGGCCAATAGTCGTAGTGGCTGTTCGCCCGCGTTAACGAAATCAGCCAGCAGCAACTGCTGTATGATAAGAATAAGCCTAAGTCACCGCTCCACAATACCACATCATCAGACACACTTTAACGGCAGACAGCTGCTCATGTTAGCATGCAATGCAACTGTTAGGTTCGTTCACGAAAACCATTGTGGCGTTGTTTCAGCGTGCTTTTCACTATGGTGTCGCTGTGCATGAATTAAATTGTGTCGCGACGCTGCTGCATACCTGCCAGGTTTGCAGCGCAGGCATTAGGGAGACGGAGGGAGGGGGGATGAAATTTTTCCAACGCTTTTTTTTAAGATGTAATTTTTATGGAGTTATCATGGCACAATAATGGTACAGTTTTTTTATAAACCGCCGACAACCTACCCCGCTGTGGTCACCACTACCAAATCTTCGGCGTGGCTGAAGCCACCTTTTTCTAGAAGTCCTTCAAGCACTGTCCGGCATAACAATGTTCACCGCTGTCACTCCGACACTTTGCCAAAAGAATGTTTTTTGCACAGAGAAACTGCCTGTGGAGTCCGACCTTAGCGCATGCTAGTCCAAGCTGTCACTCAACGAACAGTCCAAGCTGTGCTACTCGCAGTTACATTACTGCCCGATTTTGTTGTGGCAGAATTGGCCCTCTTCAAAAACTCCGAATATACCTGTGAATAACACGGTTTGTGGCTATGACATTTGGCCTGAAGTAGCTGCCTAAGTGTCTCGTCTGACATGGAAGAGTGAACTCTGTTCGAGTCTTCCTTACAAAGCTGAACTGCCGCTTGCATTCAGCATTGCATGCGGTACTGAAAGCATTCCCAGCATCACTTGAGCAATGCGACTGGATTTCAGAAGTCCATCTTCGCCTTTCAGCAGCGAGATTGTTCTCCACTGCACATCAACCCGTTCCTCTTCCAGTATATTTGTAGGAAATTTGAAAAACTGCCCCTTCACAAATTCCACTTCCAGTGCATTAATAGCTTCATCTCTGGTCTCTTGCTCCTTCTGGGGCAGTAACGCTGGAAACAGCTTAACAAAGAAAAGGACATTCTTAAATGACATCTCATCGATAGCTTCAATATTCAAAACGTGTGCATTGAATAAAGCCTCATTTCAAAAAGGAAATTTGAGGCACATGTAGTCGCATGCAGCAACCATGTACCTTCCAACAGCCTCGAAAAATTCCTTTTTGTCACTTGGCTTGAGCTTTTCAACATCACTCTTAGCTTGGTGTCCACTTACCAGGTCTTGGTCATCCTTTTGCACATTTATGCTGTGATAGTCCATCAAACATATGTCCTTGTGCTGCTTTAGCAGTGCTGGCCTCACAAGCCTTGAAAGGGTGTCCTCAAGAAGGTTTAGAAGTATAGGCTGTAGCTTGTGTATTAGGGGTGCCTGTACTTGCAGGAGGCAGTTGACTGTCTCAAAAGCAGGAATAATGTTATTTGAAAACAGACAGCAAGCTTTGCACCGAGCTCAAGAACACAAACAGTCGTTCCTCACGTGTTATGCAAGTTGATCCAGTATGCACATATTAGTAGCCTTTACTTCTTTCAGAAGCACAGGTGTTCATTTAACAGACTTCTTTCTCTTTTGTCTGAACTGGTGTTGCTCAGTGTCTTCAGTTTGTGCTGGCATTTTGGGAATGTCGTAGTAGGTCAGAAATTGGGGACCTGTACTGGCATCTCTTTTCACTTCTTGAAGCAAAGAACTCGAGAGTGGTGGCCACTGATATAGGAGCCTTTCCAGGCATTCTCTCAGTGAAAGCGATCTGGTTGGAATGTGCTTTAGAATCTTGTAAAACTCCGTATTGTGCAGTTCGTTGAAACTTTTTAAGCAAACTTTTTCTTTTAGGACTTCTTTCTCAATAAAAAAAAATGTCCACGAGGACTTCGTCCACCTTCGCTGGGAGACAAGAAGCAGCCTTTTCAGCCGCCATGTCTACTAAATGGCATGGGCATCCAATTTTTACAATGCTTTCAAGGGCCTCGGTTAGCGCTGCCGCTATGCCCTTCTTCTTGCCCATTATCACGTTGGCATTGTCAGAGCAAAAAGCTATGCAATTAGACAATGGCACATTCAATGACACAAAACTGTCCCAATTAACTTGGCAATGTTGCACCCCGTTGAAGGGCCTTCCAGGGTGCTTAAAGTAAACAGTCTGCTCTCGATAAAGCCCGATTCTTCCGCAAAGAAGGTGGCCACGATGGGGTACAGTTGTCAGTGGCAACCGCGAAAACTCGTCTTTCCAAGGCACTCACCACACGCTCTTTCGCAGCAAGGGTCCAACGTGGTCGAAGAAACTCGATGAAATGCTGTGCTCAAGCACAAAGGCAGTAAGCAAACATTTCGCACGTATCACTTCATTGTCGCCGTCTCGCTTACGGAAAAATTGTTGCATTCGATGCTGTTTCTTCTGGCACTGAACATTGTTGGTGTGCTTCTTCGACGAAACATGCGCAACCACATCAGTCCTGCCGCCATGAGATATACTGATGTCACACTTACAAATGGTGCAGAATGCATGCTGCTCACCTTTCTGCAAGGCGATAACACAAGCGAACTCTGTCGTATACTGCTTCAAGAACACCTGAAGATATTTTTTTTGCTCTTTGCTGAGTGACATGGCTGACAGCACCGCGACACAGCGCTAGCCACGCTAACAGCACTCGTGACACGCTCAGAGAAAGAACGACAAGTCGGTGTGTCAGCGGTGCCAGTGCTATCACTGAGCGACATCAGCCTGGAAAATACAGTAAAATCCGACGCTAGCGCCGCCACACCTGCCTTGCACCTCACAGCTTATAGAGCGGCTACGCTGCATTCACATACTCGGAGAAGTACTGGCAGGCTTGCTCGCTTTTGCGACAGCTGCGCTTGGTCGACTAGGCACATTCGAGCTCTTCAACGATGACGATGAAAATCGGCACTCCACGCGGGTGCATTGGTGCTGGGTTGCCAAACTGGAGCCCGCTTTGGGACAAACACGCGGGCACTTCCGGAAGATTTCTTTTTCGGTCGTACAATCGTACAAAGCGGTCGAAATTCGGGAATTTCCAGGGCAAATCGGGAAACCTGGCAGGTATGCTGCTGGCAAAAAAAAGAAGCAGCAAACACTTTTTTGAATTTCGGGAATAAATGTTCCTTTGTTTTGCTAGCTCAGGTCACCTATATTTTTTTCAATGTCACTAGAATAAAATTTTCGCTCCAAAATTTTTTGGTGCCCCGCCAGTTTCATTGTAGTGGAGTTCGACTGCATAATCATCTACAAACATGAAAGTTCATTCCCAGGAGTTACAAACATGAATCTGTATACTTATTGTCCTAGATGAGGGGAGGGTTGGGCATTGTTTCTATGGCAATAAACTATTTTGTACATGTAGACTGTAGAAGTTTGTAAATTTAGCCCTTGTTAATAAAGAAAAATTGAATAATTCAGTCATGTTCTTTGTTCCCAGCAAGCTTATGCATTGTGCTATGGCATCAAACTCTTGGTGATATTTGGCTGCAACATCGTTAACCCAGATTGACCCTTGAAGCACAAGGGCACGAAGCGCTGCAAGTGAATAACAGAACAGGTGCCATGGCACCAGATATTTAAGAAAGGTGTGGTCGCCATCCACATTCATGTGGCGACCAAGGCTTCAGAGGCTGCGGCAAACTTCTTTCATTTCATTTTTACTAAGCACACATGACCTGCATGAGCACTATCTGTGATCGCGTAAATAGCAACTAAGTCATAACTTTCACGAGCAGTTTTGTTTTTGATACATGCTTCTAGAACTGCAGCCACAAGCTATCATTACACATTAGCGAGCCTTATCTATTCAGCAGTATATGTCATTCGACTTAAACCAAGACCGCACGTGTCCCTCAAAAAATTTGTGGACGCTTTGATCGTGTTTTCAGTGACTATGATATTGTGGGCAGCAAATGCGGCACTGAGTAGCTTCAATTCGACTTCAGAAAATGTGCCCGCAACGTTACAAAACTAAAACATGACAGAAGCTGCCCAGCTTAGGCAGAGCTTCAAAATCTGACATAGAACTTGCTCGCTATAATTGTGATGAACGAATGAGGATTGAGCGCCCTATTTTAGAGCGTAAAAATTATCGTAACGTGTACATGATAATGTTGGTCGAGACAGTACGCATAATAAGGAACGGGTTTCACCTACGTTTGGGCTTAAGGGGGGACGCGGCCTTTGAAAACCGAAAAATCGCGAAAAAGTCGATTTTTGGCAAACCACATATTCGGGCAGTATGTGTCACAAACTACCTTTTCTGTAAATATCAACGTCTAATTCGTCGCGAAACCATCTGAAATAAAGTTTAGAACATGCCGCGGCGGCCCTCGAGCGCTCAAAATACCCCAACTTGCCGTGATCGCAGTTTCTCGACCGCTCGACGGAGCGCCGCCATTTTGGTGTTGTTTTGTTTGTGAATTCTTGCTCTTTCTTTCCCCGCCACCTGCGTCGCCGGCGGCAGCGCAGGAGAGGAGCAAGCCGCTCATGATTGGAGGGCTCGTGAGAGCTTTCAAGTTTCCCGCGGCTGAGGCGCGCAGCTGGGATTGGGCAAAGCGCGCGCTCCCCAAGGACGCGGGGGAGCCCGCGACTGCCATTGGCTGCTGCGCGCGATGACGTAGCGCTCTTGCGCATAATGTGGCCGCTCGTCTGCTGCTCCTCCGTCCAACGTCATTGTGTTCCGCTCGCTTCCGTGTATCGTTGCAGCCGTTCGCATACTCTCCACGTTTCAACTGTCTTCGAAACGATTTTCAGCCGTCTTTACGAGACGATTTTCAACCGTCTATACGAGACCGTTTTTGTGTTCGCTTACGATGCGCCCAACGAAAAAGAAGACGCTACGATCGTTCGGTGCAAGAAAGCGAGCTATGAAGCTTGTCCGCGCGTCGAGGCTCTCCGCTCGCACGTGCGCCGACGGTGATCGCGCCGACGGTACCTGTGGGGCAGCTTCTGCTTCATCTACGCAAGAGAGTGGTCGCATCGACGCGCCTAGCAACGGGACTCCTGCTCCGCCGGTACAAGAATTTGTCGTTACAAGTGCGCCTGGTGTCTCGTGCTCATCGACAGTGGCTTCCGCATCTTCTCTTTCATCGGCCTCGAGTGCGATCACGTCGTCAACTGTGCATTTGCGAACAAGTTTCCTGACGTGCGAGGAGAAAGAGGCGGCGGATCAACAACGCGCTGCTGTGCAAAGAGAACTTGGCGCTATGCCAGCGACGGAGCGGAAATTTCAGGCAATGGAGCGCGATCATGAAGCTGCCACCGCTACAAGTGAAGGCGAAAAATTTTTCCTTGTGCAAATGGATGCCCTAGACGACCTGCTATCTCGGACCCCGTGCCACCGGTGCACCGCGATTGGGATGAAGGTACGAGGAGGCACCCAACTTGGACTTGCTGCAAAGCTTGAGCTAGTATGCTTGCATTGTGGAGTAGTTTCAAGCTCATGGAGTTCATCTCGTCAGGATGACACAAAGGCCTTTGATGTGAATGTAAGAGCCATTATGGCAACAAAACAAATAGACAAGGGACAAACAGCTCTCAACGACTTTTGGGCAGCGAGGAACGTGTCCCATCGTGGCCTCCATCACAAGACCTTTCAGAAGCACCTGAAGAAATTCAGGGAACCGCAGACACAATGCATAGAAAATTTCTATGCAGAATCTGCTTCTGCTGTAAAAGCCACTTACAAAGAAATGGATCAATATTTCACCAGGTTTGTTATGACGGAACATGGCACAAGCATGGGCACACATCCCATATTGGAGTCGGGGCAATTATCGAATACCATACGCGCCTTATCTTGGACGCCGTTGTTCTGTCTAATCAGTGCCTTGGTTGCCAAGTAGGGCCAAAGCCTGGAGACGCAGACTATGCATGCTGGCTGGAGAATCATGTGTGCCAGAAAAACACCGACTCTAAATCAGGGAGAATGGAGGTTGAGTCAGCTATCATCCTCTTTTCACGCTCACTGTCGAAGCACAACCTCCGTTACACAACGCTCGTGTCTGATGGAGATAGTGCCACCTTCTCTGCCCTTGTACAAGAAAATGTTTATGGACTGGTCCCCATTTCAAAAGAGGAATGCCTGAACCACGTTCAGAAGAGGATGGGGACTGCACTTCGCAACCTTGCGCAGAAAAGTGACAAGGCTTTGGGAGGGAAGGGCAGGCTGACAAAGGCCCTCATCGACAAGTTGACAGATTATTATGGCTGGGCTCTACGGAACAATTCCGATGATGTGGCTGCAATGCGGCGGGCAGTGATGGCATCGTACCACCATGTGACGTCGACGGATGAGGAGCCGCACCACGACTTGTGCCCAGAGGGTGCAGACCCCTGGTGTCGTCACAATGCCAGCAAGATTACCGGTGTTCCACCTCCGAAGCATTCGTACAAGCTGCCACGCTATGTTGCAGATGCACTTCTACCCATTTATGAGAGGCTCTCACAGGCTTCTCTTCTGCAACGCTGCCTGGGAGCAAAGACGCAGAATGCATCAGAGTCCTTTCACTCTGTGCTGTGGTTCCTCATGCCCAAAGAGCAGCATGCGTCACTGATTGCTGTGGAGACAGCACTGCATGATGCAGTGCTAAGATACAATGCTGGCTGCTACAGGGCCATCCAAGAGCTAGCTTCATCAGTGGGGCTAACACCTGGCCACCTGGCCATTCAACGGGCAGCCGAGAAAGATTCTCTGCGCTTGAAAAAGGCTAAGAAGCGATCCCTAGAGAAGATGGAAAGGCGGCAAAGAAAGAGAGTGCCAAAGGACACCTCCAGTTACACTGCAGGTTCATTTTAGAACTGCCTATGTGCTCAAAACTTTCAAACGTCGTTTTCTCAAAATGACTTTTTTGGCTAGTGAGGCTGCTTATTCCAGCCATATCTCTGGAACCACTCATTGGATTTCCATAAGTCTTTTTTATTATGTACATGAATAAATTTCTGAGGGGGTGACAAGCCCATTTTTTCAATACATTGTGTGTGTTATTTATTATATTTAATCAAAATTTCATTGATAATATCCTAATCACGAACACAAAGTTTGATGGTCTGCTAAAACTTTTCAGCAAGGAAATTCAAAAAAAGGGCTCTGTTACCCCCTGGAGTATCAATCTGGGAATCATCATAGTTAATTTCACAGTTCCAGCACCTTTTCAAAGTTCTCCAGGCCTGGAATAAGAGAACCATGTGCACTACCCTGATATTCTGCTGTAACTTGAAAACCAGTGAACATAACTTGATGAAATTTTGTAGTTCTTCTAATGCTTTTGCTATAAGTCTAACCTGAAAATTTCATTAAGATATCTCAATAAACAAAAAAGTTGGTATCCGATGGTAGCCTCCCCCCTTAAGGCATAGAGGTCTTGAGCCACAGTCACATTGTGAACATAGTCGTTGCAGCTTCTACACTGCTTTAATTGAAAATAAGTACTGTAGTTACATAGCCTACATAGCATACATAACCATACATTGAGGCATAGCCAGTTGTTTGTTGCTTCCTTGATGCTTTCGACAATTCGGCATTCAATACAGACATTTTTTTCTGGTCCCCTTTAATTCCCATTAACAAGCTTTCACTGTAAACATACTCTTAATTTGAACATGCATGCAGGCTTCACACAATGTACAGTGAAGTGGATAACTCCACAACCCAACTAAAAAGCTGTGCTGCTAAGCTGCAAGACATAACAATTTTTCAAACATAAATCCTACTTCATCACAAAAAACTTATTTGAATCTGTCACAATAATTCACCGTTTTCTCATTTCCACCCAGGAGGATCTAATCAAATGCTTCGGCCACTTTTCGGTTCTTTTAACACCTTCAACAGCCATTTTAGACCAGAATGTGCTTGAGACAGCTCTTGCTGCAATTTTCACAGCTGCTCTATTATGTCAGAATTAAATAAAAACCAAAAACACTATTTTACTTCAGTGTTTAACCAAAATATCTTATTTTTCATTTCAAGGAGAATGTCGGTAACCTGAAATAATACCAAGGTCGGACAACACCAGCACTGGCGTTTCTCTCAGGCAGGGCAAGTTCGAGGAACAGCCAGTTGTGTTTCTCTCCTTTAGTGTACAAGCCAATTTTCCTCTAGGCATTTTGCCAGAGCCTAGAGAATTAGCTTATATAAGTAGAAAGAAATCTAACAGGAACCGTACACTTTCCACAAGAAACCCTTAGCATACTAGCCATACAGGTAAGTGTGAAGTGGGCATTCTCGGCAATTAGATATTCTTAGCCTGACTGTTTAGAAGCTCATTTGTATAAAAACAAATACTGCTACACTTTCTTTTTTCTGAGCAGAAACAGATTTTTGTAATGGAACAAAACAGATTTTTAATGGAACAAAACTAACAAAAGACCAAACATGTACGAACACCCTGGTTCCACCACAGCAGGTGTGCCACAACACTCAATATTGGGGCAACTTTTGGTCATTTTCATTTAGACAACCTTTCTTCCCTACACTACACTGCAAAACGCAATAGATTTTTATGGAAGTCTGTACCAGACAGATGATACTGAATTCACTTCAAACCACCAGGAATATTTAGTCAACAAACATTTACATTATAAAGACAGTCTTATCTCGAGATGAAAATATTAAGATACCTCAGCTATTACCTAGAACTTATGAACAAAAACACTAAATATGACAAGATTAAATACAATTACCCCCATTCAACAACATGTGACTCATAGTCCCAATAGTCCCTCGGTCTGTGGGAGTTGACGTCTGTATAGACACGTGACCTGCTGGGCAAAGGCATCTGGTGGCCCCTGCTGCTGCCAAACTGCTTCCCTTGTTGCCCTGATCGCTCACACAAGCCGCCTTTGCTGCCCCAAACCTGCAGAGAACACAAAAAACCGTCGGGGCTCAATGGCATGATAGTTTGGCTTTACCTCTTAGGAATAGTTATACCATATTATTCCAAGCCCCCCCCCCCCCACTGGCGAAGGATAAATCTCCAATCTACATGGAGCATCTTCGGTCATGACTCAAAATTCAAGACGGCGGCGAAAAAGCCACTAGGAATAAAGAATGTACGCTCGTGCTTTTAAATAAATGCTTTATTGAATGCGCATGCATCCACTATTTTTATTCGCCCTAGTTGGGCAAATAAAAACAGAGAATAAAGCAGTAAAAATTCTGGGAAAGAAGAGGCCGCATGTTTGAAATCTCTCATAGGGAGTGGTAACACACCGTTGAACCTTAGACATGTGCAAAATTTTTCACAAATAACATGAAATATGCATAACAATATGAATTATAACGTCGCAAAAATCCCAGACAACCTAAAAAGAGACGGAGGAATTAAGGGGGAGGGGGCAAAGAATTGGCTAATTCCAATGTGCAGCAGCATCCACTTCCACCTTGAACACGACACCGTGCAGTCAGCACTCCACGGAGTGCCTCTTGCAGATGCTTCGTAAACTAGCGCACAAGCACAGTGACAGCTGTAGGACGGGTCTTTGCCGTGCAAGCAGATGCAGCAAAGGCCCCGCCTGCAAAGGCCAGTGTCACTCAAGCATATCCCATTGTGAATTTGTCATCATCCTAAATGAAAAAGCACTAAATGTTGAGGTTTAAAAGCAGTTTTAGCAACAGCGTCTCGGTAAGTATAGGCAATTTTGAAATCCTTGTGATACCACAAAGCAGGAACTAGAGTACGCAAACACAGGTCAGCAGGGAAAAAAAAAAGAACTCAAGCCACACATTCTTATAGAGGCACATGTTTTCATGCAAACAAAAAGCAAAGTCTAAAGTTCTGAAATACTGGCCCTTTTCTTGAAGCCCCAAGAGCAAGAAGAAAACACAGAATCGGCTCAGTCATAACACCAGTTATATTGTAACATTCGTCTCAGGTGCCACTAATCACAGCACATTGAACGGTGCTCCGGTGAAGCAAAAGCCGGGAGCCAGCTTTTGTAGTCTGCTAGGCTATGGCCAAAACAGCAGGCTTCTCGTTTTAGCTCACTCGTGTCCCACGGTATCCCTCGACTACTTGCTGCATTTCTTTCCTACAATAGTTCTTTCAATTGCTGCTAGTATTACAGAACCTTAAAAAAGTTCCCCTTTTCCACAAGGGAGTTTTAGAATACTGTCTGCAAAGCTTGAAGGTGTGGGCGTAGCAATAGCATTCATCATAAAACAGAGCCCAAAAGAGATGAGCGCAAAACGCATGTGCAACGCAAATGTAAAGCTTCACAGGTGTTGTTCCAAATCTGTTTAGATATACTATACAACCATAGCCATCAGGATCAGGATCATGCCACAGAGTTCATATCGTCACTCACTGGGCCACATGGCGTTGAAGCCTGCATGAATGTGCAAACATACAGCCAAGCAAGTTAGAGTTTAGGCTTATTTAGAAGTGAAGCGTGATAAGTTTATGGCTTATTTGCAAAAGTTGGTATTGTGTAAAAAAGAATAATTTGATCAACCATTCACCTCACTTCCAACAATAGTCATGTGGACCTGTGTAGAAAGAACATTTGCCGACACACCAAAATTGATTACACATACACATACTATACCAATACTATCAGCTTCGAATAAAACGCCAGCAATGGTGCACGCTGCACAGCTTCGCACGATTATGATTATAGACCACTCATGAGCCACATTTATGCTTTCAATCGTGTAGCACTTATTGGGTGTACAAGTTCTGCCAATGGTGATGACACTAAGAACGGAATAAAAGAGGCTACGAAAAAAACTGTCGTACTTCACCTCGTCGCCATTGTTGTATGGCAACCAGCCACACCACATTATAAAATGGTGACCGTATTTGCTTGGCCGCTGCTGAAGTAGGCGAAGTGATTGTAATAATGTGTGGCCACGTGCTCCACTGTTCATGTTTCATTTGACAATAATACAGCTTGGTCAACAGTAGAAAAAAAATTGGTGAATGTATCCAGGGAAAAGAGAAAGTTCTTTCCCACCATTCTGTGGGCAATTTTGGCTGGTTATTGCTATTCTATTGGCCTGGTGTGTAACCGCTGGCACTGCTGCGAACTGCGCTTGTATGACGCCAGTTTGAAGATTCAGGCATTTTCGAGGAGTGGCCCTGTATGAAACCACCATCATGGTATAACACTGCAAAGACTCAGTTCAATTGGTTCTCTTGTGTGTGATGGCTACAGACACTTCTTACAATCGCGGGTGTCTGCTTTTACCACTCATTTTAAAAGCACAGCACTTTGTTTTCTTAAAACTGCAGTCTCCACAGCAAGTGCTGCGCAATGGTGCAATACTGCTCTGTGCTTCTATATGATCACCCATCCTTAAAAAGGGCGCTAGCTTTCGCAACTATCCCAAGGATCCGATTCTGAGGAAAAAGTGGAATAGTCAAACCCAGAGAGGGAAAGCGCCCCACGCCTTCATCGACTGTGTGCAGCAAGCACTTCGCTGACAGTGACTTCTCCTATACCAGACCAACACTCCACTTTTTGGTAAGCTTTCAACTGCATTTCAGCGCCTCGCCAGTACTTCAGCCATTCATTGCACGCAGGCTACAGGCGTACGCCACTTGCGCGAAAAGAGGTGCCGTCCCAAATTACTGCGAAGGCCCCTAGCCAGGGAACCGACCACGCAGCCTCCAAATCATTTCGGGTAAGCGCGCCTCGCGAGCACGACTGAGTAGTGCAGGACATTGGACACTACAGCTTTATTTGGTTGGTGTACATATATATATAAGTAGTTTGCTCATAAAGACAAGCTTGCGCCTAGTGCACTGCTTACTGTAAATTCACTAGCGAAACCTGCAGTCATTTAGTGCACATTCACTAAAGACTGTCACAAAATATTTGTGGTATATAGAATGAGTGATTACTACTTGTTATATCCTGATACCCGAGCAATGGCTTAGTGGTTTAATATGAACTACTTCATGATGTTGCTCTCATTGAACAAACATTACTGAGACAAACTTCAGTCATTTGCATCGGCTGGGGATGTATTAAGGTGGAACTTGCCCCCTTGCTGAGCCACATCAGCCCCTACACCTCTAGACTTTTCTCACTGCAATACAACATGGGCTTGCACCTTTCCAATGCCCATAACTGCAATCCAAGCCCAATTATCTCAAATTTGGCAATCTGATCCTGCTTTGCCTTTCTAGTAAACACCATGAACAGTCGATTGACTGCCGAAGCAAAAATTTAAACAGCTGCTCTGCAGTAATTATCTCATGCTTACGAATGCCAGAGTGGCAGAAATCGGATTCTCACACATATCCTCGTGTTCACTGTCACTATCATTGCAATGCAGAAAAATATCCGAAGGAAAAGGGGAGGCGTGTCCTTTAGAATTTCGGTGAAAGCAAACGTCTTTTTTATGGGCGGACAAAGCGCACCGACACACAGAGCAGCACTTCATCATTGCGCAGCACTCGATCACTATGCAAGTTCACTACGCAGGTTGTGGCAGGTTCGCAAGTCCACGTGTTTTTGATGACCGGAGACGCGGTGATGCTATCTCCATTGACGGCATCGGCTGGGCACATTCAACAACATGGCCTGTGTCATAAACACAGGCCATGTTGAGACACCGCGAGGTTTCGTATGCTGTATCTACATGCTTGTAGATGCTGTAGGCACGCTGATTGAAATTTCAAAACACCCGAACTAAGTAGTATTGCACGGCAGAAACTGCAGATGACGAGCGAGAAAACTCGTACATAGTTTCACTTTCTGTCTAGCGATGCGGTCGACGGCATCAGCGTGCTTATCGGCAATTTGGGAAGTTCTTTAGCCCTGTCGATTGGGCTGCAACTAAAACAAATTCCTAATTTCACTTGAAAACATTTGTAGTGGTCGTTAGTTGACCCTCACGAGGCTGTTCGTTCTACAAAGTTTCGACCCGAAGCAGACGATCGGCACACAGGAGCAGTGGCTGCTGCAGCGCAACTGAGAGCAGAGTCCACAAACTTACGTCACATGCGAGAGGGCGCCACTCCAAGATCTCGAGGCCAATACCATGCAGCAACAATATTGACTACTTTGAGGTGAAAGCTTTAGATTCCTCATCAAATGCGAAAATTGACTGTCAGCAGAACCAACACAAGTGATGCAAAAAAAAAAACACTGTATACAGTGATGACATTACTATGATGTCATAATGACACCACGGACTGCCAAAATTTGGTATGTCATAACTAGAGAATGGATTATAAGCATATGCCTATTTTGTTTCTTGCTGTCCTATTGTGTCACTTTGACATATGAGCACGAATCAGAGGTTAAGAAGGACTTTTATAGTATTAGTTATTATAGGGAGTTTGCATGAACGGCGGCGACGCTATGCACTCTGGGTAGGCAGCCATTTTTTTGTCAGAGGCGGCCGGGGAGTGCAGCAGCGCAGTCGTGTTTCCAAGCGTAGGTGTAGCTTGCAAGCGTGATCGAGTGCGAGCGTGACGCAAATTTAACTCCAGAAAGTGTCGAGCACAATGTCAGCCTCACCGGAAGACTACATACACCGCAGCGCTACACCAGAAAGACCACGAGTGGTACGAAGAAGACACGAGAATGTGCTCCGACTGAACCCATTTACGCTTCGTGCGGGCGACTGTGTGACGTGGAGTTGTGGCCACGCATCGACAGCTCCGATATTCATGTATTTCTCGTTCCGAGAACGAGTTTGAAAACCCGGGAGCAGACGACGTCCAGAAAGGCCCGCGAGGGTCCCAACTTTTTGAAGAGTGGCCGAGTGTGGGAGCCGTGATTGAAGAAAGTTGCCGCCGACACTGTGGTGGTCGTCACTCAAGTAACCAGTGTTAAAAAAAAATTGAGAACGGTCTTCTCGTGCACGTGCATCGTACTCCACGTAGAATAACAACGCAGTGGG